TATATATAAATATATAAATATATAAATTTATTTTTTAGAGGAAAGCTTAAGTGTTTTGTGGACCAAGCAATTCGAGACCTGGCGATTAGCAGTACAGAAATATCTATAGAATGCTTTGAGACAGATATATTACACAACAGATGTGTTATAGCACAGTACTGTCTCGCAGGTACAACCACCGATAGGTGCGAGCGCGACCAACCGGAAGTTGGAAGTCAGAGATACGAGTGGCATTCTATCCATCCTACTAACTGTAACTCACCAACACACTGGGAAGAGAGTAGAAAGCCCTCCAGACTACACCCATGACGGCTAAAAGCCGCCAACAAGCACACAATGATATATTCTACTGTGTTCTCGTTATTTACACACACCTCGTCTATGAACAGGGAGGGGGCCTCCTCAATTACTTTCTGGTTACGTCTCTGGATAGAGCATTCACGCTCAGCCAAGTAGATGTAGTTGCCATGGGCATCACCCAGCACCTGTGTAGGTAGGTAGATCACGTCGTCAGTAAAAGTACAGGTATGACTAGTAGACGTACGAATGGTAGACCTAGATAAAGAGGTGAATGAAGGCACAAAGGTGTACGTTGTCGACTACAAGTATCACAAGATGTTGTGTTCCGATCCATGCCGTGCGCAACCCTTGCAGTGTGGTATACATACAGTTCGGGACAACACTGGGCGTACACTACTCCCCGCTAGCGTGATATTGGGTGATGCAGAAGGAAAAGACAATGTATGTTTGTGTGGAGCGATGGGCCGCCTAACGAGCCTAAAGTCACACGCGATAGTGCGCAACTGTCCGACCATGTATGCGCCAACTGATTTCGAAACGGACACTACTAATACATGGGCGTGTATTGTACAGTGGTCGTATAATATACATCCCCGGATATAGCTGTGAAGGACTCGCTGTTTCCAGTAGCCAGGTAGTGCAATCACTCCACAGTTACATGCGCAGTATGCACATAAGCCGAGAAAGACTTGGCCGACTGTGAAATAGCTACCCCCGCGAAACACTATGCTTGTGTATTTAGAAGCATGCATTGTATCCCAATCATACGAACAACCGGTTATACATACAGGTACACAGCCAGACTTTCGACAATCCGCATACATGCGCATGCACACACCTGGATCTCAATGTGCCGTGGGTTGTCGATGTACTTCTCCACCAACATACGGTCGTCTCCGAACGACGACAGGGCCTCGGACTTAGACAGCGTGAAGGACTCGCGGCACTCCTCGTCATTCCAGGCCACTCGCATACCCTTACCTGAGAGATTGAGAGCAGTCAAAGACAATACGTAAGGTCGACATATGTCTGGATTTCAGATAAAAGATATAGGCATTGGAGTGTGTATAACTGAACCCTGCCCCACCACTACAAGGCAATGTTACCGTGCACCTGAACTATCTTGGCCACATGGTGTGGTATATTATGTGTTCATACTTGAATAGTATACGTGGCTGTAGATGTTCTTACTGGAATGGATGTGTACAGACCACCACTGCTCAGCAATGCTACCGTGCACCCGAGCCATCTTGGCCACGTGCATACTAGCCAGTGGCTTCAGGAATAATGGGCAGGTCTATACGGCGTTGGCGAAATACCGACAACTGAACACAACTAAAAAAAAGCACCGTCGTGTTGTTGTATACAACCAGTACCTCAACAATCCCGAACCACAGATGCGGAGACAGCACAAACATATTTAATAATGTGGTGTACACGAGCTATGTTTTAAAATATAGCGTAGAAGGCCGGCATCATACGCATATGTACACATTAGTGACAACAGGCGTGTCCCGTGCGAGGACTATATATCAATAGTACACAACATACCACCGCCACCGGCACTGGCCTTTACCATCACAGGGTATCCGATGTCATTGGCCACCTTGACGGCCGTTTCCACATCCTCTATCTCACCATCGTATCCAGGGATGGTGTTGACCCCAGCATTCTTAGCTATGACCTGTATTAAATGTCATTGGTTTTTTTTTGTCTGGAAGTTTAGATTTTGTCACAGGCGGGTGGGTGCAGGTCCATCGCCCGCACCGTAATCTCATATGACACTATACTGCCACAGAACAAACTATATGAACATGTTCTGATTAAACGTCCTGAAAACTCTGCACACACCTTGGACTCGATCTTGTCACCCATGGCCTCGATAGCTTCCACATTGGGTGCGATGAATGTCACACCGGCCTCCTTCAGGCGTTGTGCAAAGTGAAAGTTCTCACTGAGAAACCCGTATCCGGGATGAACCGCTTGCGCGCCTGAGAGAATCAAACGGGCGGTGCCAGGGTGTCAATATGGATGTCATGCGAGGGAAATCATCAACTATGTAGTATAAAACACGGCTCCCTGCCTACGCACAAGCACTCAGGCAGCGACGGGTGTCTATTGACTGCTCAAAAGTTGGAAGACACAGGCATTTGTGTACTTCCGAGAAGTGGTCACAAACAGTCGAGAAGGATTGACATAGAAAATAAATCACAGGTTTGTATGAATTACTGTAGTGACTATATACGCCTGTAAGCTAATTGCTTCACATGTATACCATACAATATGCTACCAAAGCCGCATAGAAAAAAATAGGGTGTTCCACAAATACATGGCAATGTAAATGATCAGTGTGTCCACAGGCTAGCCAAACTATAGCATACCCGTTTTCTTAATCGCTGCCATCACATTATCAATATTCAGGTACGAATCGGCAGAGTTTGCTGGGCCCACTAGTACAGCCTCATCAGCCATCTGCACGTGTACCGAACTGGCATCTACATCAGAGTACACTGCCACCGTCTTAATCCCCAGAGCCTGACACGACCGCATCACACGGCAGGCAATCTCTCCTCTGTTGGCGATGAGAATTTTATCGGGTAACTGTAGAATACAGGGGGAGTGGGTCAGAGACAGACGTTAAGACTGGTGAGTTAGATAATTGGGCACGGGGTGTGTGTTGACAGATATAGTGGCGAGTTTGTCTCGTATTATACAATATGAAGCTATGTACTTCTATGCTGAAAGCCTGTATGTATTCATGTGCATGTCGAAGCATATGCTCTACCCATCGGCACTTCCATTTCGCAGGCGTGTGTGCTGGTATGGCAAAATGGATGGGCGCAGTTCGTTCTGAAAAGCAGACAGTATCACATCGTGGAGTGTGGTAGCCCCCGTATCTTAGGGGGTGTAGGAGGGTAGTGGAGGGTCTCGTAACCCTCCTGTTGTACCATGGATGAGAGTGTATATACATAATCACAGACCACGCTACAAAACAATATGTGAAAGGTTGTTCTGGCGTGTGTGCAACTTCGATGTGTAACCTTGAGGCTTTGGAAATATATTCACAGACCAGACATGTTTCGGCTTTTTGAAAACGAACTTTGTACAGAGCATAGATAAAACTATACAAATACAAACCATTATATCTGCATCAAAGCCATCAACAATGGTGGAGTATGTAACTAAAAAACCAATCAATTTTCTAAATCAGATTTTATATATATATATATATATATATGTATATTGTATACTTTATAGTATATATA